AAATTACTGGCAGAGATTATAGCCCCGTGGCTATTCACCAGAGGCAATGTAAAATTAACATGGTACTAATCCAATTTAAACAAGAAGTTGCACAAACAATCCTCTGAACAAAACCAGATAGATGATTCCAATTTTATATTCAAACACAATAAATGTGTTTTTAATAAATTTTAGGAAAAAATTCTGAAGTAATTTCACCTATGAAATGTGCCAGTTTGATGAAGTTATTAATTTTAATCTTCCAAAAACAGTTAGTGGCAGAGCACAATTCACTATGGTAATTCCAAAATCTATTACTACTTTTCTTCTTTAAGTGCTGCATCTCAATGCAGTCTGCAGAACATCAGTGATTCCCAGTGACCTTGAAATTTGTTTAGTGTTGTTTCTAAAGCAGAAGGTTGTGGGATAAGGATAAAATTGGTCTCCAATGAGAAAGCAATGAACATTACTGCACTCAAAGAACTTTTACTTTCTTTCATGGAGTATAAGTTTTGGAGTTGAACAACTAATTTAACACTATGTTTTCTTTCCTTATCTTAATACACTTAAAGTAACTCGAGAGAGAAGGCATCTGAACTTTTGTGATATCCTCCCTTATTACAATCAAATAGTTAAAATTACATTGCAATGGTTTTGGGGCAAGAAGGTATAAAATACACAGGAAAGGGATAAATAGAAAATGGATTAAATGGAAAAACTGGAAAATAACAATAACATGAGGATGCATGTGTTAGGAAGGAGGGTTGTTTGGTGGCAGCCTTTCACACTGAATCTCCTTTTAATGACTATCTCAAAATCCTAGTGTAAAACTAACAAAGAGCCAGGAATTTGGGGGATTCTATTTAGAACATTATTTACTCCTATTCCAAAAAACTCAAATGGTGAAAAAAAAAAAAGAAATGTAATCTGTAACATACACATATGAGCATAATTTAAAAGTCAATTAAAGTAAAAAGTTCTTACACAGATATTTCTTAATGAGAAACATGTCAGTTATAATGAGATTATGTTTTAATAATGAATTAATGATTACTCAATTCTCCAAAGGAAATGTCCTAACTCAGTGGCCCCCAACCTTTTTGGTACCAGAGACTGGGGTTGGGGGAGGTGGAGCTCAGGCAGCGATGTGAGCGATGAGGAGGGGGAGCAGCTATAAATATAGATGAAGCTTCCCTAGCACCACCCCTCACCTCCTGCTGTGCGTCGTTCCCCGCCCCCCCCAAGTTTCATGGAAGACAATTTTTCCACAGATTTGGGGGGTGGGGCAGCAGAGCTCTGTGGCCCAGTCCATGGCCTGGGGGTTGGAGACCGCAGTCCTAACCAACAGCTAACACTTTTCCATCTTTTCAACTGATTTTAGTAAAGCCTTATAATTAATTACCACTGCATCAGTCTCTTATTGTTCACTACTCAACTTCTTCAATGGAGACACTATCTTCTACTTCTTCCTCATCTACTCTCCATTTTGAAATTTGAAATTATTTCAAATCTAATAGTATTATTTGAAACATTTTCTCTTTGAAATGTTTCTTCCTTAGCTTTGAGGGACAAATGCATTGATAATCCAGTTGTCCTCTTGTTTTTCTAATACTTGCTGACTTCGTTTGCATTTGTCGTCATCCTGATATATTCTTGTTAATCAGTCCTCCCATTTGAACTTTAGTTCCACATGGGAGCAACTGCTATATCCATAGCATCTACCACTGTGCAAGGTACACAGTAGGCTCTCACTAGGCACTTGTTGAATGAATGGAAGAATGAACATATGAACTAACTGTAAGATGTTTCTTCAGACTCAACACACTCACACCCCTTCATACTTAATTTTAGGAAGTTCACCTACTGACACTCTTGCATACCTGCACATTTAGCACTTCATGCTTTTCCTTCTGTGCAGTTTTCTACAGAACATCTATTAAAACTACCAAATAAAAATACAAAAATACTGTTATTACTCAAACCATATCCTACCCCACACTTCCCTACCACTATCACTGTATAACATCTCCCTATTCTCCACACTTAAAAATTTAAAGTATTGTTGGTGCCTATCATTTCTTCAAACAACTAACCAGTCACAAAGCCCTCTATTATTTGTTCTATTCATCAATATCCAAAGCTACCATTCAATTAGGACCACACTGACTGAAAGCAACAATACTCCAAGACAGCTTTATGGCTCATCTCTTTTTAACAACAGTTACTATCACTGAACACATACCATGTACCAAACACTGTATTAAATAAACACTTTACAGGCCACTCGTTTAATTCTCAGAACAACCTGTGAGGAAAAATTTCTCATTGTACAAATGCGGAGACTACTCAGAGAAGTTAAATTACCACCATCACAGAGGTAATAAGAGGTAGCGCCAAAACTCAACCGAGCTCTCCTGACTGCCAGGCCATGTGCTTAACTGCTACATATGCTGGTTCTGATAGCATTTTCTTTGCTAGGATATACCAATTCATGACTTCTTCTCCCTCAATATTCTTGCTAGAATCTTCCATGGCTCACATCTTCCATGGCTCATTTTCTTCTCCTTGAAATTCTTTAATTCTTTGGCTTCTACGGACTGAAGCCATAATATTATGAAAGGGAAAGAACCTAAGCCTGGATTCTGGTCAAATGATTTTAATCCCAGCTCTGTTACTTGGGACCTGTGTGATCATACGCAATAACCTCTTTAAGTCTCAGTTTCTTCATCTATAATATTACCTGCTATATAGGGATCTTTGTTAGTATTAAATGAAAAGTTCTGAAGGGCTTTGCACAGCACCTGGCACACAGTAAGCCTTCGGTAAATACTAACTGCTCTACCACCATCATTATTTCTCTCTAGTTGTTATGCTTTCATTAGCTTTCCTTTCTCCTTTTTAAATATAAGAATTCCAAGTTCTAGCTCGCACAGCTTCAAATACCATCTCTGCAAAGGACTCCTTCATCTGTTTTTAAGCCCAAGCCCAATTATCTTGCCAACAGATCCATATTTCTAACTGCTAGCTGAATTTTTTCTGTAAAAATCAAAACATCCAATTTACAAATCCTATCTCCTTTCCACACCTCAACCAGCTTCTTAATAAACATAACTCCAAAACTGGAAACTCTTTCCAGATACTAAGCATTGAACCCTTGATATCTTCTTTTTTCTTTCTCTTTTTTTTAAGAGACAAGGTCTTGCTCTGCTGCCCAGGCTGGAGTGCAGTGGCATGATCATAGCTCACTGTAACCCTGAACTCCTGAGGGCTCAAGCGATCCCTTTGCCTAAGCCTCCCAAGTAGCTAAGACTACAGGCACGCGCCACTTACGCCTGGCTAATTTTTTTTTTTTTTTTGTAGAGACAAGGTCTTGTTATGTTGCCCAGGCTGGTCTTGAATTCCTGGCCTCAAGCTATCCTCCTGCATTGGCCTCCTAGAATACTGAGATTATAGACATGAGCCACCTTGCTCAAGCCTTGATACCATCTTTGACAGAATCTTCTTGTTGCATTCCTGCTATCATTTTAAGTTCCAGTCCTCATTATCTTCTGAAATGACCCCTAAAATGGGCCCTCCTTTATTTTCTAAGAACAGTCTGTTTTCCCACTTCATGCCTCTTTGCTATGATCATTCTATTCATTATATTTACATTTCCCCCATTACTTTCCTAAATCACAACCAATTTCTCTATTAAAATCCTAACTACCCATCTCCAGAGGTCTATCTGAAATACCTCCTCTTCTATGACACTTTTCTCAAGTCCTAATAAATAGATATACTTTCCCCTCATGAGTATTCTGGATGGTTCTTTTCAGGGCTCTTACTATTAAGTAATAAATGCTATATTTATAGTTGTCTCTTCTTTATTATTAAATTGTAAGCTCCCTGAGGGGAAGGCCTATGTCCTGTATATACTTACACTTGGTATAATACTATTTTATACTTATTGTACATGTAGGACAGTGCCCTGAATACAGGACCTTCTCAGTACTATACCTGATGTCTATCCTTAGTCCTGACAGCATTTATATAATATATTCACTTGTTATATTACTTTATACTTACACCTTATACTCACTGTCTTCATTTGTAATGCTTACAATCTCAACTCATCTACAAAGTATATTAGGCTAAACTGTCTACTACTTCTTAATTCTCACACAGTTTGGTAGTACTCCATGAAAGTGGTAAACGTTTCATATAATAATACCACAATGACGTATTTGATGGTTATGGAGACAAATTAAGAAAAATACAAACCTGCAAGATCCTATGTGGCAAATTTCATTCAGAATAAAACTGACACATTAAAGAAAAGCACATTTAGAATAAACTAACCAATACTGATCCTTAAAAAGTTTTAGGTCAAATAGATTAGATTCAGAATAAAAAGCTTGCTTATATTTTATTTGATTTTAATCATCTGAAGAAATTATGTCCAAAATGAAGATAAATTTCTCATGAAGCTAACAGCATTTGTTGTCTAGTAGTGGGAAAGAAAAAAAATGTAATGTAAAAACCCAGGAAACTACTATGAAGGTTTTAAAACTCCTTTAAAATGATGCAAAAATTCCCTCTGATCCCTTCTCTTAATTGAATTACTGTGTATTCCTAAGAATAACATTTAAGATATATTCTTAAATTTGAGAAAATGTTACATTTAAATTATCCTTAAATTTCCACCCCAAAAGGCACTCTCTCAAGAATTTCCTTCTTCTACTAAGAAGGAAAAGAGTGGTTCTTTTATAAGTGAAAGTAAAAAAAAAAAAAATTATTACCCATTTCCTTTAGGTAAGAGAATAGTTGGCAATTAAAAAAAAAGACATAAAAGTTTGTTTTTAATTATAAAAAAGGTGGATCTTGCACATATAATACATTGAAGGAAAAAAGCCTCTAATCTCAAAAAATAGCACTGGAGATTCAAATGCAGACATCTGAACATAACAGATATTGCTAAACATGCAAACTTGTAAAGAAACAAGGGGAAAAGACATAAAAAGAATAAGCCATAAATTACATACCTGTTTAAGTCTGGCAAGTTCTTTCAAAGCCCGTCCCCATTGCTGCTTATAATGCAGTTTAGACTTAGTTGCAGATTCCAACTTTCTTTCAAGTTCAACCTAACAGTGATTAAAATCATATCAAGTGAAACACTATACCACTGTGTACAACCACTGAAAGATAATATATACAAAGAGTCTGGCTTAAGAAAAGAGTTTATACAGTGTAACATACGACATCATCTAAAACTGTTATATAATTTACTATAAATATTATGGCACATGAACATTTTCTTGTTTAAAATATAGTCTTATTTTTATTGCCTAACAGCCTATACTAAAAAGAACTGAATTAGTCTTAACCTCCAGACAGTTACTATAAATGTATTTAAACATGTATATTATATAAAGATCATAGAATGAAAAGTACATTCATTTTTTACAAAAAGCAGTTCTAACTGTTAACATTCCAATTTAGCTGGCACACTAAATCTTAGAAACCAAGTTTTCCATTTGGAGGCCTATCATTATGTGGAATTTTGTCTTATAATAGTATCTCTACTAGCTCTCTTCATTATAACTATTTTCTGGCAAAACCATGGAACTCTGAAAACAGTGAAATGTTTTATCAGAAAGCAGTTTACTAAGAAAGAGTACAAAGTCAAAAATATTTTAAGAATGTTAAAATAAACCCAAGAGTAAGAAAAATAATGTTCCTTAATAACACACATCTTCTATTTTTTATTTTTCCTCAAATATATAAAGAAAAA